CGGTACTTTATTCCATATATGGACTCTATTTGCAAAGAAGTGACATCTAATTGCTAGCTTGCACCTGGTTCTCCCCAGTGTATAACAGCGCCCTCGGAGGATGTTGTTGACCCACAGGGTGAACAATTGCCCAATGGGGGAATGCTCCATGTTCCTGGTAGCTTTGTACACTTCAATGAGGTCCCCCCTCATCCGTCGGCGTTCTAGAGAGAACAGGTTCAGTCTTTCCGGGTACCTGAGTCCTTTTAGACCCCAGGCCATCCGGGTTGCTTGCCGCTGAACGTCTTCTAGAACTTTGATGTCTTTTCGAAGATACGGTGCCCAAGCCTGAACACAGTACTCGAGATGAGGCCTTACGATAGCTGTGCGCAGTGGCATGAATACACTAGAACAACGGTTGGTGATTGCCGTTCGGAGTCTAAACAGAACTCGTTTGGCTTTTAAGGCTGCTGCTACAGCGGTAGAGGACGGGGAAAAGGTGTTGCAGGCTCTTGTCCCGAGGTCCATTACCTCTGATTTGTAAGCTAGGGCTGCATATTCTCCGGCTATATTAAGATTCTGACGAGGGACGGGATGCGTTATATAGGCTAGCAGATGACTCTTCAATGCGTTGAGTGGGAGTTCCCGTTTTTGCAACCACTCGCATATCTTTAGGACATCACTCTACAAAGAGTACCTGTCGTCCGGGTTTCCAACTAATCTGATGTCATCCGCGTACAAAAAGCAGGGATTCTCCAAACTTGACGCTATGTCGTTGACATACATCAGAAAAAGAAGGGGCTGCGATGCATCCTTGTGGGATCCCGCTCGTAGGAAAACCCACCTCCGACAGAAATCCCCGCACACGAACCCTGTAGGTCCGCCCGAACAAGAACGCTCTTACCCAGTTACAGACTTTCGGATTCAGTCCAGTTTTCCGGAGCTTGAAATCTAACAACCTGTGGTTAACTTAGCCAAATGCTTTCTGGAAGTCCAGGTAGCACACTCCGACGTCCGTTCCCTCATCTAATGTCTGTGTTAGTACGTCCAGGAAACATAACAGATTTGTTAGACAAGATCTGCCTCTGATGATTCCGTGTTGAGCATTGCTAAAGAAACCAATTTGAAGAAGGTGCGCGCTTATGTAATCTCGCAAAATACGTGCCAGGAGCTTAGCAAAGATGCTGGTGAGACTGATCGGACGATAGTTGGACGGATGCGATTGGTTACCTCCTTTCAAGATTGGGACAACTGTGGCATGTTTCCAGTCCTCCGGAATCCGGCCCGTGTTCAGAGANTCAGAGAGTCATTGAACATTGTGACTAGTTGGGAGATCAATAAAGATTCTGTCGTAATGATCTTAGGCTGAAAGTTTCAGAATAGTATTTAGAATAGCATTTGACAGTTATATGGAAGGTGTAATTCCCCAAGATTTGGTATTGGTAGATTTTGCTTCCGAGAACTCGTTCATTTATATTAACGATTTTTATTTTTTTAAGTTAAATAATTTTAACTTTAATTTTTTTGGTTCTTTGCTGCTTTATTGCAACCGGCGTTATGTTTAGGGTCTGTATCAAGAGAAAAAATGTTTGAGCAACAGTGGTCTCCAGTTGGGATTTTTTCATGGCTTGGAGAACGGGGATCGATAAAATGACCTTGAACGTTTCAAATCAAGCCGCGTTTGGATATTGCGCGTTCACCCCGTTTGTGCCTGAAACCACACCCACTTACTAAATGTGAAGGTTTTCTCAGGTCGATAGGGGTGGGGAGAAGACAAATTGTGGAGAAATAAAAGCTTTGTTATAAGTGCATTAAATATGGACACCTGGCGCGGGCATGTGAAGAAAATGGTAAATGCTCGGTTGATGGTTGCACTGGCCAGCACCATAGCCTGATTCCCTTGTCGCCTAGGGATCAAATGTCCGTGAATGTGCAAGCAATCGCTGGGATTTTCTGTTCTGCGTCGAATACCATTACTTGCCTTGGCGTAGTCCCGGTAAAAACAATGCACGGCGACAAATCGGTGAAAGTATATGCCTTCCTAGATAGCGGTTCGGATACCCTAATAGTTAGTAAGGAAGTTACCGAACAGTTAGGGCTAAGTGACCTGAGAGTACGAATGAACGTTCACACTGTGGCAGGAGAGCAAAATATAGTTAGTCAAAGGGTATCATTGGAAGTTTCAAGTCAAGTCAAGTCAGTAGTAGCTTTATGCACCCGGATTGGTGTAAGCGGTTGTGCAATTCTGTGGAAATTGTGTCCTTGTCTATAAGCAGACGTGCTAGATATGGCAGAACAGAACTGTGATAAGCACCGGTGCGTGCAAACAAAAGTTTGAATCTTGAGCGTGTGGATGATGTAGATACAGCTTTTGAAAATTCGTTATTTAATGGATGGTGAGTTTCTGAGAGTATTTTGGCGGCGAAATTTTCACATGCTTGTAGGTGTTTGTCAATGATATAATCGGCCAGTTTATCTCTGACCATGCCACTACATTTAGAGATGTGTTCCACAGATCTCGCCAGTAAATAAGTCTTTCTTCAACATACCGGGAAAAATCACTGGGAAGTAATACAACCAGTGGGGTGGCATGCATGCATTCACAAATCTAACAATCAGCTTGCGAGGAACAGAAAGTAATCTCAATCGAAGTGAGAAATATGAAAGCTTTCTAACTTAACAGAATGTGTTTTGAACGTGCAGTGACCATGACAAATTGTGTGATAGGTTGACGCTAAGGTATTTTACTAATTTTGATTTCGGTAGGGGTTGTTCATTTGCAGAAATGGTGGGGATCCTATCCATGAGGGCTGAATGTGGTACATCGGCCAAGAGGGAAAACACAAAATCCTGATATTTAGGGGCATTCAATGAGAGGAAACGGGATAGGGATTAAGTGATAACGTCATTCATTTTGCTTTGAATTTCGGAAGCCTCTTAAGGATCGTAAAGGCGTTAAAGTAAGCACTGCATACACCATGGACGATCTATTAATGCCAAGAGCTCAGGTACCGGCTAAGAAACAAACGGTTCGATTAACCCACGTATAAGGTATAGAAATGGAGCATCTGACTAACCCTAGGGTTCAGTTGATCATTGGTTGTGATGTACCCAAGCTCATTGGGTGAATAATGGTCGATGCGGCGGGCCAAACGAGCTCTTCACGATCGATAATCCGTTAGAATGGTTAATAATGGGACCGTTCTTGAGCGTAGCAGCTTGTCAACAAATGTTGACCGTCATCCGGAAGAGTAAAACTGGGAACATGTTGGAGGATTTATATAGCAAAGAGTTTGAAGTCCTGCATATGATGGTGACACATCACACCAAAGAGGATCGTCGAGCGTTGCAAATAGCAGAGGAATCGATGAACCATGACGAGAAACGATTTCGTATCGGATTAACGTGGAAAACCAAACAACTAAGATCTAGTGATTAGTAGGTTAGTATGCCTGAAACGCAGGTTTATGCGAGATCCAAATTTAACAGGCACAATAGTTTATTGAACGATCGCTTTCGAAAGGGCTACTTCGACCGCGTACCTAAATATTAAATGGAAGTCGCGTACAGACCTAGGTGGTATCTACCACATCATCCGGTGGTAAATCCGAAGAAACCTGAAAAGGTTAGAATAGACCTTGATTATGCGGCCACCAATCAAGGAAGTTGTCTTAATGAACACTGATTTTCAGGACCAAATACCGTAGATAACTTAGTTGGAGTACTGATGCGCTTTCGCTTAGGCAAAGCAGCTGCAACAGCAGATGTACAAGAGATGTTTTTGCGGGTTAGGGTGCCTGAACGTGATTCAGGGTATTAAGGTTCCTATGATGACCTAATGGAGATCTCAATCAATAACCAAAGGAATAGATAATTTTAGTTCGCCCATTTGGTAACACTTCGTCGCCATTTCGTGCGAACTACGCCCTACACCGCACGGTCGAATCACTTAAAGACATAGGAAATGATCAAGTGAGATGTGTAGTTGGACGATATTTTTACATCGATGACTGTTTAGCATCGTTGAACGATGTTGAGCAAGCAATACTTTTCGCGGATCAATTAGGAATGGCGCTTGGCAAGGGAGGTTTCCGGCTATGCAAGTGGTTCAGCACCTGCACTATCGCCATAAGCAATATTCCAGAGAGCGAAAGGGCGGTTAGTTGTGCATAACTAAATATCAATCTAGATGCTCAAGAGCGCACTTTAGGCATGAATTGGCTTATTGTTGACGATGCCTTCGTCTTCCCGTTTGAAGTAATCCGGAAACCATTCACTAAAAGAGGACTGCTATCGTATGTTGCTTCACTGCATGACCATCTAGGTCTCGTTACTCCAATGCTTCTGACGGGCAGAGTATTCTTTCAAGCACTTCATCACAAAACCCCTGAGTGGGAATAACTAGTAGGTGAGAATAACCGGCGTACGTGAGAATCTTGGGTAAGTGAAGTTAACAGCTTAAAGGAATCAAAGGTGCTCAGGTGTATGGGGAGTGAAGAACAAAGAGCCCGGGCGTCAGCCCAACTGCACATATTCAGTAACGCGTCTGAATCAGCTTACTGGGCCGCAGCCTACTTGAGCGGCAACATAAATGGTAATGTTGTATGTAACCTGGTTATGGCTAAATTCCGCGTGGCACCAATTAAGGGAGTTACCATACCTAGACTAGATCTGGCGGCTGCCGTTATACTGATTAAGTTATGTGATACCGTAAACCGGGAGTTGAATATCTCAAAGAGACCTATATTCTACTGGACTGATTCAACAATTGTACGTTATCACATAAACAACAGATCAGCTCGTTATAGCACACTTATAGCCAACCGATGGGCTATAATACATGAAAGCTCAACAACTCGGCAATGGTATTACGCAAAGGGGTCAACTAATCTTGCAGACTACGGCACTCGCGGTTTGAGGTCGGACGACCCAAAGTGAGAAAGTTGTCTGCGGGGCCGTTATTTCTGAGAAGCTTAGAAGAGAATCCCCCCTTAAAATTGGTCTCCAATGAAGAACTCAAAAGACAGATTGAGATTAAGCACACAGTGACTATCAACGAAACAACTGTCGCGATAAGCGTCAGTTTACTTTCTTATCATTCGCATTGGTATAAGCTGTTGCGAGCCACCGCTTGGTTCAAGCGCTTTACGCAATACATCAACATAATGTTTAGAAAGAAAGGTGTCTTGTCACTGCGGGTGGGCGGACGGTCGACACAGGCGATTCAGCTTGCCTGCGACAATGTTGTGCGTTTATTTTAAGCAGAATCGTTCTCAGACGATCACGTTTTGCTAATGGATCCTTAGGGACACGTGCACAGGAGTAGCCATCTATGTAATTTGTGTCCAATTTTAGTAAATGGAATGCTTTAATTGGTGGTAGATTGAATTACGTGCACATGACGCAGGACACCTAGCTATCCTGCCTCCAAAACACCATGTAACCGAACTTCTCATAAGTCACTTTCATAAGAAGGAAGGTCATTTAGGGCCCGAGCACGTGTTATCTGAAATTAGGAGGCTATCCTCAATGATCAAAGCTGGTGCAACAGTAAAGAGCGTTCTGAGCAAATGCATTCACTGTCGTAGGGAACTGGGTGAGCCAGGATGTCATATAATGGCCCCATTTCCTATGAATAGAATGAGTATCCAATTGTCACCATTCCACTTGGTTGGTCTAGGCTATTTCGGGCCATTTTGTGTTAAGCGGGGACAGTCCGTGAAGAAAAAATACGGATGTATCTTCACCTGCATGACCATGAGAGCAGTACATCTAGAGGTAGTGCACTCATACTCAATCATTCATCATGGCCCTGGATCGGTTCATAGCTCGCAGAGGTAAACCAGAACACACATTCAGTAATAATGGAGCGAATTTTGTCTGAACGACCAATGAACTGAGGGTGTGTTTACTATTTTGGTCTCAGGATAAAATACAAACTCATCTCCTTAAGGAGGCTGCACAGTGACATTTCAACCATCCTAGTGCTAGTCATAGAGAGGGAGTTTGAGAACGGCTAATTAAGATAATAAAGAGAATACTGAAGGCACTCCTTAGTGCGAAACAGATGAGGGACGAAGTGTTACTCACGATCCTGATAGAGACTGAACGGATAATGAATAATAGACCGCTTGTTTTGCAACAAGTCTGTCCGCAAGCCTACAAAGCACTCACGCCACAGATGTTGCTCACTATAGGAGACTGCGATACGAATTCTGAGGTGAAAACCATAGTAGACCGTTTTAACCGTAGATGGCGTAACGTGCAGGATATCACAAATTGCTTCTGAAAGCGATGGACGAGGGAATACTTGCCAATAATCCAAATCAGATCCAAGCGGCATATAAGACAGGGGGGCTTTCAATTGAGAGACTTG